CGATAAGGTGTCACTAAAGTCTTCCTGTTTTCTTGATTGAAACGTGATGTTCACGAAAGTCGCCTCGATGGATAAGAGAGAGTTAATATACATGGCTATGGTATTTGCTTTTTGCTGAGTCCCGTAGTTTTTTGTAAATTGTTCTCCAAAGTTGTCTCAACTTAAGTCTTAAAAAGTGTCACGACAGGCCTTCGTTCGATTGAAATTTAATTTCCGTAAAACTCTGAAAAATAAAGAGATCCGATCAAACGGATTGTGGTTTTAGTATAGGTTCATGAATGTCTTACAACACACAAGAAATGAGCTAAATCTGTGTCTCGAGCAAAATCGACCGGGCCAGTCTTACAGCGACACTCTCTTAGATCCTATGAGAAAGTTGAATTGGGAATGGGCAGGATTATGGCTCCTGGAATGGGATAATTCTTTGCGTTTCGGAATTAGCCAAACGGCACGAGCGCAATATATGTGTACCTGTAGATATTACAGTGGTAGATGGTTTATATATAATATTATAAAATAATTGAGATACTACGGGTGCTCTCATTGGTCGATTGGTGAGTTTAGATGAAAGTATGTAAACACAGTTGTGACGTTTTAGATTCGCGCGTACTTTTGAGAAATATTTTATAAAAGCAATAGAGCACTTTTTCCGTGTTTACATAGCCTCATCTAAACACTCAGGAGGTTGGGAGAATTCTCGAAAGTTGCAAACCCGAGACGCAGTCGAGGGTTTGCATAACTGTCTCGCATTCTCCCAACCCTCCTCGTGTTTAGACGAGGCTATATACACACGGAAAAAGTGCTCTATTGCCTAACTGATACTACATAATTGAACTTATTTATGATTTTCACAGGGACGAAGAAGGCAATGATATCACTGATTTATCAGTTTTCAAGGATTATCATCATTATCATCTATATACACACGGAAAAGGTGCTCTATTGCCTAACTAATACTACATATACTACATAATTGAACTTATTTATGATTTCCACAGGGACGAAGAAGGCAATGATATCACTGATTTATCAGTTTCCAAGGAATATCATGACAAAGTAGAAGGACGTGTTGAACAATACGTGGAGGCAAGGAAGGAAAAAGGATCTCCAGATATTCCAGCTCGTGTTGGTCTTCAGTTGATGGGGTGGAAAGCCGGAACGCGACCCATCAGAAAAGTAGTTGAGTACTTCAACTTTGATTTCGAGATCGCAAAGCGCCCAGGACTGGTGTCTTTTTACCAGATGTTTGAACGTGGAGAGGATTTTTTTGTCAGCGACCAGCGAGGGCTTTGGTTCATGTATGAAGATCTCTACAAACCCTTGACCAACCGAGTTTTATTGAACAAAACCGTGACAGAAATCAAGTATTCTGACACATCAGTTGAAGTTACCACATCCAATGGCGACAAATTTGCCGCAGATTACGCCCTGTGTACATTCAGTACTGGAGTGCTGGCTAGCGACATGGTGACTTTTAACCCACCCCTCCCTGAATGGAAAAAGGAAGTGATCTTTAAAAACCCAATGTCGGTTTACACGAAAATCTTCCTGAAATTTCCAAACAAGTTCTGGGACGATCACGAATATATTCTGTATGCCTCTAAAGAGCGAGGTCGTTTTCCCGTGTTCCAAGACTTGGAAAGACCAGGCATTTTACCAAATGGCAGCAGCCTTTTATTGGTCACCGTGACGGAGGACGAAGGGAGAAGGATTGAACGACAAGCATACAATGAAACCAAGGCAGAGGTCATGAAAATGTTGAGATCCATTTACGGACAGAGCATTCCTGATGCAACAGGTAAGGATAACTAGCTTACCGGCAGCTTAATTGACATTGAGTAACAAGAACCAGTTTTATTTGCTCGCTCTTGAGAGTAGTTACGCTTAAATTAGCAAAATACAATTAAATGGAGCAAGGAACAACAGGGGCACAGCAATTAGGTTCTGCTTTTCGTAAGAGAGGTATACTCTCCGAAGTAGAATTGAGTACAGGTTTTTGATCGGATCGCAGGCTCAAACCAGGTTAACTTAGTCTAATCAGGAGCTCCGCTTTTAGGCTTGGCTAGATCTATATATGATCTTCGACGGAAATAGGTCATCTACCACGATATGTGTCCCAGTGTAATCTCTGACAAATTTAATTTCGGTGGTAAATTCTTCATCTAACGACTTACTACTTCTGCCATGTATTTGTGTTGTTCTTGATAGAGCGGTTTTCACTTGAGTGTTGAAAGTAATTTGCCTTTGTTTCTGTTTTGTATCGCTACGCTAAGCGATTGGCTTAAAAAACGGGCGCCATTCTGTCATCCAATCAGAGATGAAACCAAAACCAATCGCCACTTACTCAAACAAGTTTTCCCTCCCTTGGCATCAGCTACAGGCATTTGCTTGGAGATTTGAGTAATTTAGTGCGTTGTCCGTCTCCTTTGTGATTGGCTAGAGTGATTACTTTTTTTTTTTTTAATTTTTAATTTTTTAATTTTTTTTTTATTTTATTCCTCCAATTCCTAGCTAATACATAGATATGTAAATATAACGTAAAGAAAGTAAATAGTAACCGATAGTACTTTGTAAGGAAGAAAAAAACGCATAAAACAGAAATTACATCACTTAAATTGAATTAAATTGTATATTGGAATGAGAGGAGAGGGGCACATCTAGATAAACTAATTTTGTGCCCCTAAACGTTATGTATAACTTGAGATTATTAATAAAAAGAAAAAGAAAAAGAAGAGGAAAAAATGACAAAATATCTTAGTGATTACTTTGACTTTGCTTTAGGATACTCAAATAAAAACCGCGCTATCTAGCAACTCAAATGAATTACTCACATATCTTGATGCATTTCGTGTCTTTCGTCTCCCTTAGCGATTTACTATTACCGCTGGTCACAGGACCCGTTTACCCAAGGCTCATTTTCAGAACCTGTTGTGGGCTTTACTTCCGAGGATTTTAACAAGCTTGGACAGAACCTGGGGCGACTCTACTTTGCTGGCGAAGCGACGAGCAAGGAGTGGTATGGTTACATGCAAGGAGCCTACTTGACTGGAGAAGAGAAAGGGAAACTGATCGCGTGTCAAATTCTCCCAAATGAGAGTGAATGTAAAGCTCCAGAGAAGAAAAAGCCGAAGAGTGAAGCAACGTTTGCGGCGAGATCTGCAGCTGGAGTTTTAGTGTTTTCTTTTTTGTGTTCACTTTTGTGGATGTAAACTGTAGTTTAACAAGACTGTTCCTTTAAGAGACGTTTCCTTGTAGTAAGCTACAGAAACATCGTACATCCGTAGAGTTAGATTGAAGTTAACTAGAAGGTTTTATCCATCAATACTTTTGTCAAGTAGAAGCCCTCTGAAATTCATTGTTATTACAAATGTTAACCTAGAAAGCAAAGCTCAACAGAAATAACCATTACTCGTTTGCCGTTGCCTGCACACTCGTTTGAAATGATTATTTTAGCGTCTTGTGTTATAGTGTGCTGGTATCGACCATCGAACTACAAGTCCTTTTTAGCGGTTGTTGATTTTCCTTTCAAAAACGTCGATCACATCATTGGAAGGCAAGCCTTTGGTAATGGTCGGTTGCTATTACTGCTCTAGTTTAGGCCTAGACTAACTCTTAAGAGTTTAAAGGGAATGTTTTCGGGCAGGAAACCAGCGTTGAACAAGTGAAACTCTTAGTCCAAGAATCTAGCCAATCATATCACGTGTCTCCAGAGCCTTCTTTTCCTCGTGCCTAAGCCTCACCCATTTCAGTAGAGGGACAGGTGGCTCTGGGAACGAGAATAGAATAAATGTAAAGCTTTGTGATTACCTGCACAAGAAACGGCTCATTTTCGCCTTGATGCAGGAAACTTCGGAGGGAAAAATGGTGGAAATCACTGTTCGTGGGAAGAACAAACGTGATACGTTATTTAACTGTTGTAAACTCCCTGAAAGCCACCCTTCTTAAACTCTTAGCTTGTTACAGAAGGTCTAGACTCCCATGAATTAACCCAGAACTACAATAGCACGAGCTGTTGACATAATGATGTTTTGAAAAAGAAAATTTTCATTCTGAAAATCGAAATAAACGCGTGATTGTCTTTTCTTTTTTTCTCGACGTGTTTTCTTTTAAAAATACAAACATTTTTCCGTGTATTTTTCTATCGAGTTTTATCGGAAACACTCAAGAAACTTTCAACTGGAGGGAGAATCTCGAAAAAGCTGTGGAAACACTCGCCACCGGCTGCTCGTGTTCCGACAGCATTTCTTGTTCTCCTAAACTCCCATTCGGGTTTCCGTAACTCGATAGAAACACGGAAACCTCTTTCTTTTTATAATTTATATGAGGACAATAGTTGTCGTAACTTGGCTTAACTTACGTAAAGTAAAATACTGCCGGTTACAAGTTACGTGCCTGGGGAACAGTGCTGCCTGGATCTCTGCGCGCAAATTTGCTGATAATAACGACTAATAATTGTTCCGAACTAGCCTAAAAGAAAACAATATTTTTGACCTTCAGGTTTTGTTTGTTTCAGTGAGTTTGCTGATTTATTTGACCTTTCTGACCCGTGACGTGAGGTTGATAGGCACTGAAATCTTCGGAACCACCCAGTATGCAAAAATCACTAATCATTCGACCGTTGTAAGTGACAATATTTGTTGCCTTTTAACGGTGCGTCGACCCTGCTACTGTACACAGTCAAATTGGGAAATCATAGAGCCAAACTAGGTATTTATCATTGTGTTTTTATTTCACATTCTGACAAGGTGCAGGTCAAGGTATGATCTGAGAAAAAAATAGGCTAGGCATACTTATGCGACAATAACCCTTCCACTCGCGAAGACAACCTTGAATCAGTGAACTAAACGGTGTCATAACTTTTAAGCTTAGCCGAGCACGAAGCTTCGTGTTGAACAGCGAAAAGCATGTAACAAAACGAAACGAATTTAAATCGAACTAAGTCGAGTAATATAGAGCTAAAGCGAACCATTGGATCATTCTTGCCACTCATAAATTTGGAATCAAACATACGTAACTGACGCAAGGCAAAGGAAAACGTGTGCGAGCGAGCAACGATTGGGTTTTGTTTTGCTTCTGACTGGATAGAAAATGGCGTGACGGGTGAAAAGGGATCAAGCTAGCAGATGAAAGAATTGTGGCTAAAGCTACTGAAAATACTGATCTGACAAATGTAGTGGTTTCTCAAAACCTCAAAACCTGGGTCGCCAAGCAGCTCTGGTAAGGTCTCACATGAATGGCTTGAGACGCTTTGAGAGGACAACGGAACAAACAATAGAAACAATGCCCCTCGCCTCAAATCAATAACAGTTGGTGACAAGCAAAAGAATTACGAGCTTACGAGAGCTGTACGGGTCCGAAAATGATCCCAGGACCGCAAACGATCACCAAATTGGACCGCAAATGATCCCGGACCGGAAATGATCCCCATATTGGACCGCAAATGATCCCGACAGAAAATATGGAATGGCATGGATTTGTACCAGAGGAAGGTGAAAGCATATAAAATAATTTCACAACAAAAACAGCATGTTTCATTATTTTAAAAGAAATATTACACACTTGCTTTTTTGGTTTTCGAAGGCTACTGACTTAGAAAAACACTATTAAAATTCTATATATACCTGAAAGAAAAAGAAAAAAACTTCCGACAATAGTAAATCACCAAAGAGTTGAAAGTGGAAAATGCAGGACTTGCATATCGCTAGCTGCTAACGCAAAAAGATGGCAACTGGTTTTTCCATGTGACGAATGACCAGTTAAGTCGCCTCGGAAGAGTATTTCACAGTGCCACAAAATTGCGCTCTGACGCGGTAAACTGCGAACTAACCCAATCTTGGAAAACGGGACATCTATCTGCGTAGAATGACTATGGCTGATGAGTGGGGTGATTGGATTGCTTTATGGGCCCTAATTAATACGCTCGTAATCCCCGGGGCAGTTGCGAAAGTATCAAGCCTATATAAAATAGGTTCGATTACCAGGAGAAAGGGGATTGAATGTCATCTATTAGGTGATTGTCAAAACGGAGTACAAGCGACTGGAGATGTGGCCTTGTTTGACTATGAAGCTAAGCTTCTTTACCATAGCCAGGAACCAATGGCTCTTCAGAATCCCAACTACCAAAGCAAAAATACGGCCAAGGACAAATTACAGAATCTGAAAAAAAATTGAATGCTACACACAAGGTGTTTTACCCGGGGGGGGGGNAGCCGTTTTGGTCATAAATAGGGTATCGATTTTGGCCATTTTGGTCTTAAATGGGGTATGGTTTTAGCACTCTAGACCTGAATTGGGTATGTTTCTTGGAACAAGCTACTTTTTCATCATTATCAATAAGACCGTCAACAAACGCCCTTCATAACTTATGTTTACGGGAACTGTGCCAGCCGCAACGGTCATAAATAGGGTATCGAATTTTTGGCCAGGTCATAAATAGGGTAGTAAAAATTGCAGATTTTGGTCATAAATAGGGTAAGGGTTTTGGGAAGTGGGCCGCACACCCCTGCCCAACTTTTCTGGAAGTACCCCCGGGATGTATTACAGGTCTACTCGGGTTTGTAATACATGTAGTTGCTTTATGGCTGCATTTTAGTTTGAAACTTAAGCCGCAGCGTCACATGTTGGACGAAAGCTTATTAATTCTAGAGCATTGAGTTCTTGTTGCTGTTGTTGCCAGCCGGGCGACATTATTGGACTCATAAAATTGGATTTTACAATAAAACCGAATTATCAATGTTTAACTAAGGAAGCATATGAAGCATACGTTGCGTTGTCAACAAGAATCTGGACCTAATTTTAAAATTGCCAAGAAATCAAATTTCCTGCCTGCAACCCAAGTCCATTTTGATAATTCAGTGGTGCAATTCATAGCATCGTAACAAACTTCAGTCGAAATTATGAAATGGAAGGTAGTTGCAAGCCATTATTTAAGATGGTTTTAATGAAAATATCGCTATTCACGCTAGTTCCTTATCCACACCAATCCACCATCCATACCAGTCCTTATGTTTCGGTCCGGATCATTTGCGGTCCAATTTGAGGATCATTTGTGGTCCAATTTGGGGATCCTTTGCGGTCCGGGATCATTTGTGGTCCAGGGATCATTTGCGTATCCGTACAGAGCTGCTATCGTTCTGCAAAACTTAAAACATTGAATAACAGGATACCGAGGTTACTGTAAATGAAACTCTTCCAAAACTGTGGGGATGCAAATTAAGTCGTAAGTAGTTTAAGAATGTTGGCAGCCACTCATCGGAAGGATCGATCGACTCCTTGCGCTCGGCTAATGTCACATTTTCGCTCAGGTTGTTTTGGTATATTATTTACAGAATGCACATCACGAGAATTACGATCTTGGTTGTGATGCTGTTCGTATCGGTGGAAAGATCTTCATCTTCACCAGTACAGGTAAACAAAACCAAAGTCCTCATCCTTGGCGCTGGACTCTCAGGAATCAAAGCAGCAAAGACACTGCTGGACAAAGGCATCACTGACTTTCTGATTCTTGAAGGACAGAATTACACTGGAGGCAGAATACATGCTGTGCCATTTGCGGGTTTAAAAATCGAGGCAGGAGCGAACTGGATTCAGTTCACAAACGTCGAAGATACAGCGCCGTTCGTGAAGCTGAAAGACGAGAAAAAGTTGAATGGTATTCTTTCTAATTACTCTGACTTTCTCGTGAGGTAAGTTTGTCCTTATGTATAAACTTGGTCTGGACAGGTCTCGACAACGCAATTTCGTGACTTTAATTTCGGAGGGCGATATTTTCAGACGGTGATAAAGAAAGTAAGAGAGAAAAAGAAAAAATAGAGAGAGACAAAAAGAAAGTAATATGTGTGTTTTTATTGACTCACATGTACCCCAAGCTTTGAAAAATTACTCAGAAGTGGATAAACCACAATCGCAAAGAATTAGTTCCAGATATATACGATTGAGATTCTTGCACGTGCTTTCTCTTCCCCCTACGAACTGCGGACCACCTCTTGTCTGTATCTCACAAGAGCGGGGCGATTTATACAGGTAAAAAGTTACATAGACTAACATCTAAATCCCAAAACAAAAGGTCCGATCTTAACATTATCCGAAACTATGATTCAAGTCAAGCTTTCATTGAACATGGTCCGACATTAGGAAAATTAGGAAAATTGATTTACGCCACACCGTGTCGTATCAAGGCCCCACATTATTGTAAGGGTTGAACCAAAATTTTTGGACTATTTAATACGCAATCAAAACCCAGAGAAGGGGAGGGGGGAGGGGGGGATCAGAGATAATTAGAGAATTGACTTGCTTATGAGATGATTAGTTACAACTCCTTGCTTTTCAGAATTAGCCAAACAGCCTTCACTGTCGCTTGAGCGCATTTCCATAAGTTGTCACAGATTATAAATGTACCTATATAGACATGGCAGTGTTAGATGATTATCTCATTTTAATACTATATAATTGAACTTATTTCTCATTTTCACAGAGACGAAGAAGGCAATGATATCACTGATTTTTCAGTTTATGACGAATATCTTGACAAAGTAGACAGACACGTTGAAGAATACCTGGAAGCAAGGAAAGAAACAGAATTGCCAGATATTCCAGCTCGTGTTGGTCTCCAGTTAATGGGATGCAAAACTGAAAAACAACCGATCAGGAAAGTAGTTGAATACTTCAACTTTGATTTCGAGTATGGAAAGCGCCCAGAACTGACGTCTTTCTTCCAGCTGTCTGAGGGAGGAGATGAATTCTTTGTCTCTGACCAGCGCGGGTTTTGGTCAATGTTTGAAGATATCTATCAACCCTTGACCGACCGAATTTTATTGGGCATAACCGTGACAGAAATCAAGTATTCTGACACATCATTTGAAGTTACCACATCCAATGGCGACAAAGTTATCGCAGATTACGCTCTGTGTACATTCAGTACTGGAGTGCGACATAGTGACTTTTAACCCACCCCTCCCTGAATGGAAAAAGGAAGTGATCTTTAAAAACCCGTTGACGGTTTACACGAAAATCTTCCTGAAATTTCCAAGCAAATTCTGGGACGATCACGAATATATCCTGTACGCCTCTGAAGTGCGCGGTCGTTTTCCCGTGTTCCAAGACTAGGAAAGACCAGGCATTTTACCAAATGGAAGCAACATTTTATTGGTCACTGTGACGGAGGACGACGGGAGAAGGATTTAACGACAAGCATACAATGAAACCAAGGCAGAGGTCATGAAAATGCTTAGAGAGATTTACGGACAGGGGATTCCTGATGCAACAGGTAAGGATAAGCAACTTTAACTTTAATATTGGGCAGCAAGAACCTCCTTTACTTGCACCCTTTTGGTAGTAGTTACATTTCAAGGGAAGAATTGTGTGGAATAAAAAACAATGGAGGCAGAAAAATTTATTAGCTGCTACAAATAAGAGAGGTACAGTGTCCGAGGTAGAATTAAGGCGTTAACCTGGCTACTACCAAACAAGTAAAGGCTTGTCTCAGATTTGCGCGAAGCCACGCACAGCTGTTTCAGTCTATACGCATCGCACTCTCAAAAATGCGCTGGGTGTCGCGCTGGGGGTAGGGGGAGTGGTCATTTTGAAATGCATGGTATTACGGAATTATATATTTGTCATTTTTCACGATATGCGTTTCGGAAAAATCTCTGAAGAAATTTAATTTAGTCGGTGAAGTCATCATCCAGCCGCGACTCACAACTTTTCCAGGGTATTTGTGTTGTTCTTAACATAGCGGTTTTCACTTGATATTCGCATTTGCTCTGCTTTTCATTACTTCGTTACGCGATTGCCTTAAAAAACAAAAACTCGCGCCATTTACTCGATCAGAAGTGAAACGAAAACCAATCGTGACTCGCTCGCATACGTTTTCCCGCGCTTCGCGTCACCTACATGTATTTTCATGGAATTTTGATTGGTTAAGTGCGTTGGTTGTCTGCTTCCCTTGTGATTAACCAGAATGATTACTTTCGTTTCCGTACTCATCCGCTTCGTTTAGATACTCATCCACTCTATCCAGCATCTCTACAGCCTGCGAGATCGAGCATCCGGTTTTTTCGGTTCTTGTTTGGTGCGGTGCCGAGAAAGATCGATTTCCGTGACGTTAAAACTTTTGTTTTATTGTTGACCAATAAAATTCATCGATAGAATGTGACACTCAGACGAGAACCGGCGACAATTTTGCGTGAAATGGGATTGATAGACCTACACGACTCTTGCGGTTCATTTAAACATTTGCCGTTATCTTTGGGGTTTCGGTCTCTCGATCTTTGTTTGCTTTACACGTGTTCCTGAAGGGCACTTTACGCTGTTCTTTTAGGAGGAATGTTAAGTAGAGTGGAGTCGTTAGACTGTACCATGGCAAATTCTTTGGAAACCACACGAAAAGTCGAGGAGGCTTGTCGTTTCAATTAGTATAGGTAATCATACAGTTCGGAGTTCAGTTTGGAATTAATTTGCACAAGTGAGTTTTTCAGCTTTTTGAACTGAAAACTCACAAGTGCTAGTTAACTCCAGATGGAACGAGAAAAACCGTATGATTTCTGATAAATAATATAAACGTAAAAAAATTTCCGTGGCGGAAGTGCCGGAAGATCTTTCTTGAAGCCATTTTTTCTCATGTAAGAAAACTGTTTTCAAAGTTTTTCGTCATCATTTCAAGTGATATCATTGGCCTAGAAAATTTCCTTTTGTCGTTCAGCCAATCATAACCCAGAATTACGATGTGTAATTTGCACTGGTGTTACACTTGAACTGCACTGCTCTCAGCCAATCAGAATCGAGTAATTTTTTTATCATATTATTAGGGGTGTAATTCAAAGATTTTAGTCTTGCTGTACTGAACCTGTTCAGGACGAAACGTAAAGGCTCTATGTTTAGCTGTCAAAGTATCTTTTAGGGTACACTCGAAGAAATAACAAACAAAAAACGTCTTCATTTCTCATTTAGGAGCGGTTTGCTTACTTTCATTTTATATTGTGACACCGGGCCCGGCCATTTGATTAGATCGAACTGTTGTAAATACACTATGTGGCTTCTTATTCGGCTACGTCGGAGTCTGCTACATGTATAGCTTCACTTCAAGAGAGCTATTCGTTTGTCTAAGGGCTGACGTTCTTTGTTTCTTTGTCTCTCGAGCTCGATGTTTATGTTTGTACCTCAGTTCTTCGTTCTGGCATCACCAAATGAAGCTGCTCTACATTTGGGCAAGTCTGTTAACTGTTTTACGTGTTGTATGTGCCACTGTTTGGCTTCTCGGAAGTTGGATTCACACAAGAATACACAATAGGTAAAGCCTTAAATATAACAGACTTTCCACGTCCAGTTGGAAGATTAACGGAAAAAAAAAATCGCTCCTCTAGCTATTCAGCAACAAAACGCAATACTTCCTCTTGACGCTTATTTTCGCTATCAAACCCGAAAACTTCACAAACTTTCCTGAACACGATGAACGTATCTTCCACCTTTTTCCAGGCACGATCTCTGCGTGTTACTTCTTCGGATATGCATGGTGAAATGTAATTGGTTAACGTAACGGAAAACGTTCTAGTCGCTCATCTTCGCAGACGGTTTTTCTCGGCGCATGAAACAAGTGCCAAGAAAACCCGGACGCTCTGGCAGGCAAGCATCCTAACGAATTGCTTACATTTCTTAACGCGTTTTGTCCTTTTAGCGATTTACTATTACCGCTGGTCACGGGACCCGTTTACCCAAGGTTCATATTCAGAACCTGTTGTGGGCTTTACTTCCGAGGATTTTAACAAGCTTGGACAGATCCTGGGGCGACTCTACTTTGCTGGCGAAGCGACGAGCGAGGATTGGTATGGTTTCATACAAGGAGCCTACTTTACAGGAGAAGAGAAAGGGAAACTGATCGCGTGTCAAATTCTCTCAAGTGACAGTGAATGTAAAGCTCCAGAAAAGGAAAAGCCGAAAAGCAAAGCAACGTTTGCGGCTAGATCTGCAGCTGGAGTTTTGGTGATTTCACTTTTGTGTTCACCTTTGTGGATTTAAACTGTATCACAGGGAGCTCTCACATCCGTTTAGAATATGAATAAAAGATTAACCTACCTTTATCGCGCGTGTTTTGTGGTTTGTGGCGGCCATTTTGAATTTTTTAATACGCGGTCTGCTAGTGCGAGGTCTGGAACCGAAATTACGGAAGTCCTGGGACGGGCGGGAAAATTTGCAAATTCTCAGAGGAGCCGATCGCTTACCGAGGATAATAAAGTGACTAAAGTGA